TCCCAACCACCCTCCCACCCTCCCCCACGTACCATGAACTTGAGCAGCTGTTCCTTGGCGGTCTCCGGCAGCCCTCCCACAGGCCGCGATGAGATCAGCTGTCCGTCGATATCGCTCAGCCACAGCAGCGTGTCCTGCAGCTCCCCGCTGAAGCCCTGCGCTTCCGTCAGCGCGTCCAGCAGGAGGCGCTCCCGGGCGGCCGCGCGCGCTCGCAGCGCGTCCCAGCGACCGCCGAGCTCGTCGAGGCGCGCCGCCGGGTCGTCGTCGCCGGAAGCGGCGCCCTCTGGGGAGTCGGCGGCGAGCGCGCGCGCGGCGTCCACGATGGAATCGATGCTCGCTTCGTGCGCCTGGATGTCGTTTTGTAGGATCTGTGTGGTGAGATGGGAGGACGCGTGTCAGCGAAGCTGTCGGGTGACGATGGACAATGACACGCGGTGGAGATATGGCCCAGACAGGGTGACGATGACACGTGGTGGAGATATGGCACAGACAGGGTGACGATGACATGTGGTGGAGATATGGCCCAGACAGGGTGACGATGACACGCGGTGTAGGTAAACACAATTGATTGAATGGACATGTCAAGCGTATGTTGACCACATCATACGATTAAAAGCATGTGCTACCATTGCACAATGCACCCAGCTAATCACACCCACGCGCAATGTAGAAGGGGGACGTTTCAGCTACTGCTACAGCTACTGCTGCGGCGACGTACCTTGTGCTTTGCTAGCTCGATCTCAATGGACTTGGGGTCTCCGTAGATGGGCACGGCACGATTCAGCTGCGCGTCCTGGATGTCTAGCCAGCTGAAGAACTCGTCGATGGCGTGCCTCAGCTGTCCCAGCTGTAGCAGCGCCGCCTCCAGCTTGTGTTGTCTGATAGAGAGAGAGAGAGAGGGGGAGGGTTAATGATGGAGATCAGGGTGCATAGATGCGGTCTGTGTGCCTGTACGTGTATGACTGTGTGAGAGATCGATGAACTTAACCTACATTATCACAGACAGAGGCACAGACAGTGGAACAGACAGTGGGT